ATAAAAATAATGAACAGAATCAGTGACAAAGGGCAGCCCTGCTGGAGTCCAACATGCACCAGAAACAAGTCTGACTTACTGCTAGCAATGCAAACCAAGCTCCTGCTCCAGTCGTACAGGGATCGAACAACCCTTAGCAAAGGGCCCTGGACCCTGTACTCCTGGAGCACCCCCCACAGGGCGCTGCGAGGGACACGGTCGAATGCCTTCTCCAGATCCACAAAACACATGTGGACTGGTTGGGCAAACTCCCATGAACCCTCCACCAGCCTGAAGAGGGTATAGAGCTGGTCCAGTGTTCCGCGGCCAGGACAAAAACCGCATTGTTCCTCCTGAATCCGAGGTTCAACTATCGGTCGAATTCTCCTCTCCAGTACCCTGGCATAGACTTTCCCGGGGAGGCTGAGGAGTGTGATCCCCTATAGTTGGAACACACCCTCCGGTCCCCCTTCTTGAAAAGAGGGACCACCACCCCGGTCTGCCAGTCCAGAGGCACTGTCCCCAACCGCCATGCGATGTTGCAGAGGCGTGTCAGCCAAGACAGCCCCACAACATCCAGAGACTTAAGGTACGTGGGGCGGATCTCATCCACCCCCGATGCCTTGGCACCGAGAAGCTTCTCAACTACCTCGGTGACTTCAACTTGGGTAATGGATGAGTCCACCTCCAAGCCCCTGGCCTCTGCTTCCTCATCAGAAGACGACGCTGGGGTTGAGGAGATCCTCGAAGTATTCCTTCCACCGTCCAATGATGTCCCCAGTTGAGGTCATGTTCACTGTAGTTATGCACATAAAAAAATTAAATATTGGCTGCATTTGCATACATGTAGCAGGAACACAGCTGGATTGTTTAAAACAGAAACTTCTTTGGTCCTTCAGATGCACGGACAAGTGAGACAGGCAAGTAAGAATGCAGGACTTTCTTTTAAAACACTTTTAAGTTAAAATAAATTATGAGTAAACACATTTATATATGAGAAAAAATTGTACAAGATCACAGAACAAGTGTAAGTGAAGTGTCTTTAATTTAGCGTGCTTACTTAATTTTATGTATTACTATCCATACAAAGATACTGCATCAAAGCTGCTGGGAGAAACTGTATTCCAGCAGCCTTTACTACCTCAGTTCAACTAAGCAGTGAATGAGAAAACCAGGCTATGAGAGGAAAAAGAGCAGTGGTGGCCGAGCCGTGTCCCTCTCATCTTAGCCCAGCCCCACCACGCACCATGTCAGCCAAGAATGCTTCCAAAAGCTCACATTTACTCTCTGTGTTCAGCTATGTTAAACACCCAGTCACACTGAGCTCACCAAGCTTAAGAATAATTACTGAGGATATTCCACTGGTTGTTTACATTGGGCGAGAGGTGGGGTCCACCCTGGACAGGTCACCTGTCTGTCACAGGGCTGACATGTAAACAAACAACCACACACACTCACTCCTACAGGCAATTTAGAGTCGCCAGTCAATCTAAACTGAATGCCTTTGGGCTGTGGAAGGAAGCCGGAGTATTCGAAGAGAACCCATGCAGGCACAGGGAGGACATGCACACTCCGCACAGAAAGGCACCGGGTTGGCCGGGGGGACTCGAACCTGGAACATTCTTGCTGTGAGGAGACAGTGCTGTCCACTGCTCCACTGTGCTGCCGTATCTGAATTCTTAGGAGGATTTTCACTAAGGTTCTATGGGTCATGTTTTGGCTGCATGTGCGCAACAGCCTTGAGGCAGCAAATTTGAAACGGAGGTGTATTCAAATTAACACAGCTGTGGCTGTGCTCATTTACCTCATCAATGGTAAATATGCCTCTAAATACAAAAACTGCGGTGCCTGTCATGTTCCGCTCTGGCCTTCCTGTTAAGGACATTTATTCTGAAGGAGATTTCCTATTTAGCCTAGGATTGTTGCCTCCTTATTACTGCCAATCAGTGGTGAGTGGTTACACCTGTGCCTTGTTACTTGCCTATTTGTCTGTTTTCTCCTCAGTGCCAGATAATTACTTACAGTACTTTCCAGCCATTCTCATGTTTGCTGGTCTACCTGAAACCAGTTCATGGACCTGACACCTACTTGCTTCTGGTTCTGTGTCCTGGACTTGGCCCTGTCTGTAAGTCTGCTGCTTTGTTTGACTGCGACCTGTCTCTGAGGACTATGCCTGTCTGTCTATTGTCTGCTGGACTGCAGTAGAGGAGCCATTTCGTGTGGAGTTCTTTGGAGGAGTGTTCTTATTTTTTTTTGTTCTGAACTAGTCCTGCTGTTTGGAGCGCTCTGTACTGGACTTCCAGTCACTTTCAGTTGTTTGTCTTTTCGTGTATGCCCTCTGGGAGTATATTATCAGACAGCACTATTTTGTACAGTGTCTTTGCTCTCCTGTCTCTGCCCTATATTAATTTCAGTGTGCATTGCCATTCACAAGAAGAGCTGTTGGAGAGATGCTCCGTCACCGACCATCAGTCCTGGCTGTCCATCCTGGTCCTGGCTCTCCTCCATTGCCTGCTGTATGGTGTCCGCCAGACAAACCCAGCTACAAAGCAAGTCATCACAGCACCATTGTGCCCGAACGCACCACCACCGTTTGCTAAACCTGTTGCTACTGATCTCCCCTGGTGTAGGAACTGTACTAGGAGAATCACTGACTGCTCTCAGTCTCCAGGACTGCTTTGCCCTTTTCTTAACCCAATAAAGATAAAAAGTACTTTTGAGTCTGAGTTAGCATTGGAGTCTTCCTTGTCTTGGGTACCTGATGGTGCCAGATTATTTTCCACACCTGACGGTGATTTGCAAAAGGTTTAGTAAACATCCCCCTTAGTGTAAACCTATATACCGTAGTGCTCTCAAAGTCCACAACTGCCTATTTACAGAGCAAGCATACAATGAGCATCATTATGTGGGGCGGCTGTGGCTCAGGAGGTAGAGCAGGTTTGAAGGTTGGCAGTTCAATTCCTGGCTTCTCCAGTGATATCACTGGTGTGGGAGTGTGAATGGGCAAATAGTGTGAAAGTGCTTTGAGTGTGCTCTAATGCATAGGAAAGAGCTATACAATTAATGTACCATTTACCATTAGCAGCTGGTTTTCACTGGTTTCCAATGCATTTGTTGCGATAAAAGGTAAAATTGTTGCTGAGAGGGCTTTGCTGTCTGACTGTTTTGGGTAAAAGTCAGGATATTGTACCTCAACCTCTGCTGCTTCCATTTTGACAATTTTTTAATTATTTTTTTAAACCTACCTCTTGTGAGTTTCCCAGCTTCATAGAAGTGCAAAACTAAATTGCTGGCTTGACCCTTTAATTGCCTTGTTTTTCTAGGTATTTGTTACTGCGCTGCCATTTTAGCCAGGAATCTCTCCGAAAAGAGAAAAATGTATGGATTGGAATTTTCTTGGCAGATTCCAGTTTCTTTTAAATCTGACCTGCCAATTCTGATTTTGAATTGTCCTTCTAAGAACTCTAATCGACAGCATACACAGACATTTTTCTAACTTCTCTTTAATGAACAATTGTATTAGAGTTCTATATTTTCTGCCTTCAGGTTGACTGACCAGCAGCAGGATAAAAGAAGATTCTCACTCCCACAAACAAAACCATGATGTTCTACCAAGTACAGGGCACTGCAGGTTCAAATAAGGTTAAATAGGCTACAAATATTGTGACGGGGAGAGTGAAAAAACAGACATGAGCACCTCCTCACATGGGAGTCTATGCACACTTATAACAGTTGTGAGCACACTGACAGGAAGAGGAATGAATGGTATGTGGTGTGGAGTTCACAGAAGTGAAGAGAGAATTGTGCAGCTGAGATGAACAGCAGCTGAGAAGACATCGTGTGGCCTTGTAACTGAGAGAAAAGAGGATCATGTACAATCTTTTAGAGCCCGAGGTTATGAAATAATTTACAGTCAATCAGCAGACACCTTCAGTTCCTGTTTGTTGTGGGTTCTCCCTGGAATGTTTGCTCAGACTGAGATCAGGTGACTCACTCAGCCAGTCGAGCAGACTCCTCCTCTTCAGCCTAAAAACTCTTTGGTTGCTTTGGCTGGATGATTGTTGTCCTGGGGAATGATGAGACATTATCCAGTGACTTTTGATGCATTTCTCTAAATCTGAGAACTTAATGTTCCTGTATGAGTATAAAGGAACATTGTGTCCTCCTGTTGTGTCTGTCAGAAATCAGAACTGAAAATCATCAATAAATACCAATGTGCCAGTTCCAGTGGCAGCCTTACATGCCCAAGCCATAACAGAACCAGTATCATATTTGACAGATGAACATATTAACCTAATGATAGAGAAGGGGTTTGTCCCGTGGTCTCTCACCAATTTGAAGTACTACAATGCCTCCAGGAGGCATTCTGATCAGATGCCCAAAACACATCTTGTGTCTCCTTTCATCATGAAGCTCTGAGCTCCTTACCCTATCTCTAAGGGTCAAGTGAAGTGAATATTTTGTCATTCTATAAGTCACTATCCAAAGTTGATGACCATAGATGAGAGTTGGAGTATAGACCAAGTGGTAAATCCAAGGCCTACTTGCTCACTGTCCTTGATGGTCCAGTACAACACCAGCATTACTGCTGAAATGCCATATTTTTAAGTTTCTTTTTAATTGTTAAATGACTGTAAACCAGTGCTCACTTACACCCTAGCTTATTTGAGTTATGACAAGCCCAGTTTTTACTACAGTATCAGCTGTATACACTCACTGCAAATAAATCATGACCATGAGCTGATCTCGCTTGGAAAGCCTCAGTCTTAAAGTAATAAACCGTCCAAGTGAAATTCTTCTAAATAAACTTTAATGGCCAGTAAATGGAAACTGAAAATGTTTAGCATGCAGAATAAGAAGTCGTTTCCAACTGAAAAGGGAGTGTCCAGTGTGTGTGGAGGCCAGAGGAAGTGTGTATGCTGGTGATTGTTTCTGCTAACGTGGCAAAATTCATGAAGAGAAATGGAAGAGAGAGCAAGAGGAGAACATTTCAGGACGTAGCTCATGCTGTCTTCATACATAATACATCTCCAGTGTCACTATGGGGAGGAAGACAATCCAGATGAGGGGAGCATTCCATTAGACTGCCCCCTCACATTAAATAAAGTATCTGAAATTATAGCTGAAATGATTCCCCATAATACTATAATACACAAACACTAAAATAATACAGGGGTTGTACTATTAGAGATGTCTGAAAGGCAATGCTTCATTAAATGATAATAGATTTGATTTTATTTACCCAAGATAAAAGATTTCTCTGTCCTCAATACACTGAAGGTGAATGGAACTTAATTTGTGCTGCACAAAGTTAATAAATGGGACTGAAAAGGAGAAACATTTTTTTAATTTTACTGTCATTGTGACACATACAATGAAATTTCGCTTGGAGCAGGCACCGAGATTCGAACCTTCAACCTTCCGATTGGGAGATGACTGCTCTACCCACTGAACCACTGTCCCCCCCACTCACGACCTTCTTCTTTCTTTCCAGAAACTGATCAACAAAAAAAAAAAAAAAACCCAGAAGAAAGAAATTTACCACTAGATGTTAGGACCCCTGGCCATTTCCAGGTGCAAGGTTGCATTTTGAAGAGGCTCCCAGTGGTGAATCTATCTCACATGTCTACACTTCCTGCTGGCCTCTTGCAGCTGTTCTCTATCAACGCCTCATCAAAATTATTGTCTGTGTCCTGCCACCAGTTTTCGTTAGACCGTTGTCATTCATGTCTTCCCCAGCTCTGAACTCTCTGCCGCTGTGTGGGAATATCTCTCCAGGGCTATAATACCTTGGCTGAAGCTGATTCACGGAAGGACCACAGCCTACAGGTGTCTCTATGCCTGCTTTCGCTCCCTCCATTTAAGCTGCTGGGTGAGCTCCATTGGCATTAAATGTGCCCTGGTTCAGCCTTGAGCTAAGAGCTATTTGTATCTAAGAATTGTAAGTACCATGGTACCTGCTCTGTCAAGCCTAAATCCTCTGGTATATTTGCCTTGGGTTTTTCTGCTCCATTTTGAGAGCGTGATTTTCTGTCCTTACCTTCTGCGACTCTTTTAGTTGTGTATTCAACTTGTTAACTTCTATAAAACAGCTCTGGTGAAGTATTTAGAGTAGTACACTTGGAGAGCGGTGGCTTCCTCTGTGGTGTCCTGCCATGGATACCATGCCTGTCCAATATTGCGTGCATGGTTGACTCATGAACATAGATGTTTACCAGCTACAATGAATCCTTCAAGTCTGTAGTTGTTACTCTGGGGTTCTTTTTTTGACCTCACTGATCATTCTGCATTGCATTTTATGTGCAACTCGCATGCCCCTAACACCACACGACCCCGGGAATGCAGTTTTTATTATTAAACGAACCAACTATATCTGACAATAATGGCCAAAGCATATTAATCCCACCAGACCCCTCATTCATGGTGCTCTGGCCCAGCTAGCCTGTGCCAGCCCCCTAATGCCAACATTCTGGCACACACCAACAGAACATAACAGTAACTCTGAAACAACACACAGTCTCTTAGCTTTAGATGCTAACACATCCAGAAGGAAGAACACCACATCTGAACCAAATAACCCTCTCTATCTCACAAAGCCAAACTGATGTTAAGCCTGGTTTTTGATCTTTCTTTGTCCCACTTTGTGCACATGAACATGACCTCTTCAGTCTGGCATCCACTGTTTCAGACTTTCAGCTGACAAGAGGTCTTTCATGATTTGAAAGTACTACTCACAACACTTCTTATAACCTTCACTAGGTGACAGGCAGGGTTAATTTATGGACCGTACTCTGAAAACTCAGGCTAGAGAAGCTGGAATAACAACACAAGGGCTGTAACTAGCAGTGTGTTAAGGAGGGAGTTTCAGTCTTTGGGTTTTAGACAGTTTGTTGGACAAAAGAAGTGATCTGAAGACATCTAGTTGAGTACTGGGGAACCTCAGTTTAATTATTTGTTGACAAAGAGAGTGAGAGTGGTCATTAGGTACTCACCAAGGGTCCTGAAGGGCCTCTGGTGAGGTACCAAGGAGAAGAAACCAGGCTTCAAGGCATTAGTGATGATGACGTCAAATAGCTCCTCAAAATCCTTCCTGTAACAGCGAGAGAAACAACATTAACCTCTGTGATAGGCGCATGGCCACTGCGTGAAGGACAATGCTGGACAGCATCCAAATACAAGGAGTAACACAAACACAAATAGTTCAGTGAAACTAAACACTCTGGACAAACGATGGAAAACATTGAGCAATAAACAGTGTACACATGCAGCACTGTAGGAGGAATATTGGTAAACACTCCCACAGGGCTACAGATATGCAGCCAAATGAAAGTGAGCATGTTGAGAGCTGGACGGTGTGTCTAAGGAAACCTACAGTCCAGTGTATGTACAGTATATGTAGAGTAGGGCTGCCTTCAGCTGTGACACTGTGCAATGCATGGATGTATACACTTCGATGACACTATTTAGCAAACTACTGCCCAGAACAAGGAAAAAAAACAACAAAATCCACCAGGACAAGACACATTTAATTACCAGTGTTGGGCACAGATCTTAAGAGTGTTCAAGAGTGGAGCTACCATCAGGCACCTCCTCTACATGGATGACCTCAAGCTGTATGCCAAGAACAAATGAGACATTAACTCACCGATCCACCTGACACAGGTCTTCAGTGAGGACATTGGGATGTCATCCAGATAGTAAGAAGAGGGAAGGTGATAAAGGCTGATGGGTTCAAACTATCAGGGGGCCACATAGCAGACATACAGACCACCTACAGGTACCTTGGTATCCCACAGTCACATGGGAATCATGATGAGGAGGCAAGAAAGAGAGCAATGTTTAAGTACCATCAAAGGATAAGACAGGTCCTGAAAAGGGAGCTCAATGGGAGGAACAAGATCCAGGCCATCAACACAAATGCCCTGCCAGTCATCAGATAGCCTGCTGGCATAGTGAGGTGGCCAAAGGATATGGAGACTGCTGATGTGAAGACCTGGAAACTCCTCACAATGCTCAGAGGATTCCACCTAAAGTCCACATCCCAGAGACTGTACATCAAAGAGGGTGAGGAAAGAGGGTGAGCGGGGCCTGGTGAGTGTGAAGGCCACTGTCCTGGATGAAACCCAGAGCATCCAGGAGTATATAAAGAAGAAGAATAAAGTCACACTAAACAGCCAACTGACAGTTGACTGACAAAACCTTTAGTCGGGTACAGCCATGATGCCTAATGTAGCATTTCTAAACAATCTTCCATATAAGATAAGAAGCAAACGACAGCCTTATAAAAGTTCTAGAAACGTATAAAAGGACTTCTATCACCTCGTATGTACAAAGGTTTTCAGTCCTGTTAACACAGTGATACTTCTCAATTTTTCCAGGACTAGTTCATTTAAAATCTCTATAATGATATTATGACTTTAATGACTGAAGTTAAAGTATCTATTACATTATGTGTATCACATTGTGTTTAGCCTTAACTTGTATATGAACAAAGGAAAATAACAGTAAAACATATCAAATTATTAAAACTATTACTAGTCACTTTCGGCTTTTCCCGTTTAGGGGTCACCACAGTGAATCGTCACACTGATGACTCGCATGTTGACATTTGGCACGTGTTTTACGCCGGATGCCCTTCCTGACGCAACCCTGATTCGAACCCGGGCCGCAGCGGCGAGAGCGCTGCGCCTTAACCACTAGCCTACCAGGGACGGCTAAATTATTAAAACTATTACATGGTGCTAAGAGGGTTATACACTATCTACTGATGTCAAGATTGTTAAATAGCCCCTGCATAATTCTCTCTATTCATGGCTAAATTATCAAAAAATCAAAGTTATAGTTCAGAAAAGCAAATCCTACATATTATTTGTTAATAGTTTCATCTGCTTTTCTCCTGGTCTTCTGTTAACATTAAGATATACTGACATGCTGTCAAATGTTATGAATAGGTATGAGATGTGCAACTAGTTCCCAGTGTTTAACAACCAGCGCTAACTTTAGCAACATTTGGCTAACTGCTTAAGCTAACAGTTTACCACGTGCTAATGGTTAACTTAGCCACAAGCAAAAATATATTGATACTGATACACTATCAAATATTACGAGACGCTATGTGACACTGCAGCAAAGCACAGATACATGCCAGGGAAGGCTAGGCTTGGCTCACTGTTGAACCGAGTGCTGACATTCTGGTCCTGTGGTAACTACCAACATTAGATTAATGCTCCATTTTGGATCAGCTGAGATCATAAAGAGATACTGACAGTTTAACATTATTAGATGGTTTTTTTGAGGAATACCTGTTACACTATATAGTGTTTATAGTAGAGTATTTTTATATGCAAATATAAATATTAAAATGTGTATGGAGTGGAACTTTATAATCTGCAAGCTCATAGATGATAAATATGGAAATCTTTGTTCTGAAATAACCAAAGCCGGTCAGAAGCTGACTCAGAGCATGAGTTTTTATGGCCTAATAAAACACACGGACCACAGTTGTTTCAGTTCGGAACATTATTGCTATCAGTTCAAGAATGCACGCAGTGTGTTCTTTACTGTGTGATCTGATCTGACACACTTCACCGTATGTTCTCCTACACTTTACCGAAACCTGATCACGTTCATCACTTGTACTTCTCACATTGTATCCACGGTCAAGCAGTGAAACTAATTTCACACAGCTGGAGAAGCTCCTTTGGCTCTGTCTGAATAGTTACAGATCACTTCATTTAAGGCAGAAAAAAAGCTCAACCCATCCTGCAGCACTCCAGCAGTAAATGCTCTAATCTGGTCATGCCACATAGTAACAGCGGTTTGTCTGGACACACTGTTGGGTGTTGGCTGGTAGTCCAAAAAACCCAAGGTGGTGTCAGACAGCTCTCGCCTTGTTGTACAGCTTCTGACAGCCAACTGTGACTGGCCTGCAGCCGGCTCACCACTGGTGGCTGTGGGCCAGTCGGGGTTTTCTCTGAAACAAGAAGTAGAAGCTGTCATTCACAAAAAAGTGCTTTCTGTACAGCGAAATGCTGACATGACACATGACACACTAAAAGAGAGAGAGAGAGAGAGAGAGAATTTTTTGCTACCATGTTGCCTGATTTTAATATTAAGTGCTTCCCTGTACATACACAAGCATTGGGTGTAGTTAAAACAGGAATAATCTTTAGGCAGGCCAACTTAATCTGAGACCAATATGCATGTTCACATACAACCTCTGACAAGATGAAGCCAGCTTACTGCAATTTCCTCTTGTGGATAACACGTTATAATTCTGTATTGCCTGACCTTGTAAAGCAGTGGTTTGAACATGATTCTGAGCACACAGACACTTATACACAACAGGGCTCAGACTGCTATCCCTGGGGGGTGACAGGATTGAAGGGGAGGGGGCAGCCAGTGAAACATGATGGGCGCAAGGGAAAGGGGTGAGGAACAATGAGAATGAACAGGCTGCTCACATCTTAACAGGAAGCTCCTGGGCTGTAGAGGCCCCGTAAGAGAACCTGGCATCCAGAGCAAAACGGCTTTACCACAACCTGCTGTTGCTGGAGTGCAGAGAACAATCAGTTCAGAGCATGCAAAGTGAAAAAGCAGACCACCTCACCAAACAAGTGCAGTGGAAGGTAACAACACCACAAAGAACAAGAGAGGCTTATGTTGGTTCAGTCACAGCAACAATATGTACTCAGTGTTTCTTCCAAGGCTTGACCGAGTGTATAACAGAGCTTAGGCTGCAAAAACAAACCTAAACCACACAGTGTGTGCAGCAAACCAAGGGAAGTCAGTAATGCACAAAGCCTACCAAGACAAGAGTCCTTTTTGCTGCACACCTACAGTTATAAATGAAGTGCTGCAGACCCCTCACATCCTGGACACAAACTGTTTGAATTCCTCCCCTGTGGATGGTGTTACAGGTCACTGTACACCAAAACAACCAGACACAAGGACAGTTTCTTCCCCCGGGCCATCACACTGGTGAACAGTTAACCATGACTGTACAACAACCCTGATAAATTCAAGGTAAAATGTGTGTATACACATATACTGTATATTTTATAAGTACTTTTTTCTTTTTTCATTTTCTTTAGTGCACATTCCTTCTTCTTGTTTCCTCATTGCCTTATGAAGAACACTGTGCACATTGAGAGCCAGTGTACCAGAGTCAAATTCCTTGTGTCCAATATACCTGGACAGTAAAGCTGATTCTGAGTGTTGCTCTAGTTCTTTTGTTGTGTTCCGGTCAAATTTGACGGAAAATATAGTTATAGTTATTTGATCAGACTGACCTAAGATTCTATGTCTTTGTCCACAAAGAGGATTTCAACACACAAAATAAATTGTATTAATTTGCACACAATTTAGTGTGTTTTATTCAACACTCTTGGTGTTCCTTGTTAAAAATGACCAGTCATTAGAAATGAATGGGGGAGACAACAATTAGTGTAAAAAACTGAGCATCCTCATTTGTCAGATGGACACACGCACGCACACACCTTGGGTTCCCTGGCAACCACTACAGGACCCTTTGCCCAGTAGAGTCTCTCTCCCATGTGAACAACACCTGTGTTGGCAGTTCTCACAGACAGTTGCAACACTGTTTCAATAACATTGAACTTTTCTCATAACTTTAGTATACAAGGCTTTTTGAGGCCTTGCTAACAGTTCATTGTGTGGCAGCACCATGGCAGGTCGATATACTGTAAGTGAGGCTCTTGATTGCATATTTGATCACCACACTGGTGACCAGGAGAGAGGCCAGGAAACTGACAGTGAGGATGGATTAGAGGAGGAAGTGTCAGAAGATGAAGACGACATGGAATATAATCCAGACCAAGAAATAACTGATGAGAAAAAATTCAGTGATGAAGAGGATGGCCGTGCTGAGGCTGCTGTCGCATTCAAGTCAAAAAATGGGAACTTATCCTGATCTTCATCCCCACCTGAGAATCCAGGTAGGCTTTCAGCTGAAAATGTCATCAGGATGACCCCAGGACCTACAAAATATGCCATATCCTGAATTGATGACATCAAATCCTGCTTTGAACTGTTCCTGACTGAGTCCATCAAAACCATAGTGGTAAACATGACCAACTTGGAGGGGAAACAGATTTACAAAGACAATTGGAAGAGGTAAGCCAGACAGACAGACATCGAAGCATACATGGGTCTTTTGATTTTGAGTGGTGTGCACAGATCCAGACACGAATCTTCCAGCAGTTTATGGGATGCAGAGTCTGGTCAGACAATGTTTCGGGCAACCATGTCACTCTTACTGTATTCTATTACATATTAACTGTAGTTTGTTTGTTTCAACCACTACACATCCAGCATACATGTAGCAACATTAGCATTCACTTGGAGTCCAATATTCATTCTGAAGAGAAATATCTGACTCTTTGACTTCTAAATGCTCCACTATGTTTGCCATCTAGTTACTAACTTTTAGTTTTAGTTATTTGGTTCTGGATAGCTAGATGCTGACAAAATAATGTTAGCTCAAGGTACATTAACTTTTTTCTGGAACTTTAAAAATTTAAAACTTAAAACTTAAAGCTTATAAGATCAAAAGTGGTAAAGCAAATTTTGTCAAACTACTATTTCCAAAGTTAAGAATGAATTTTCAGTGCAGTGTTATTAATATACCCATACTGTATGATCAAACAGTAGAACCGGTGCTAATGCACTAGGGCTCTACAGGAGCATTTTATCAAAGACCACTGAGTGAGAGTAGAAATGTGATTTTGGTGTTTGAATGAAAGCAAGCAGTGCTCAGCTCCTACACACACACACACACACACACACACAAAGCATACAGCTGCTGTCACAGCAGCAGAGACAGGCCCAGGAGAAGTGAAAGTGAAACTAAAGTTTACAGCACCTATGCTCATTACTGTATGTACAATAAAGCCACTGCAAGTAAAAAGCTAGTGGGAGTAATTACCCAAACACTGGCTAAACAAGCATAAACATGCAGAGAAGCAGAAATTTCAGCTTTGCCCACAGACTGCAAGATTGTTAGGCTAACAGCTAAGAGCTAACAGTGGTGACCTGTCCAGTGCAGGAGCTGCATAGCCCACTGTGTAGCCATCATGTCTCTAGTGTCTCCTCCCTCCACCAACTACAAACATGCTCCAACACATTCACTGTTCATGTGTTCCTACTTTTGTCATTGTTTAATACTGAGGCAGCAGCATTAATGCTCTTTCTATTAAAAACATAACTGTGTAAGTTTTGTCTGTCCCCAGTCTCATGAGTGCCAATAAAAACAAACGTGAGCATAGAGCTCTATATGTTGGGGGGTAGCATTATGTTAAGGATGGCTCCATTGCGTCATCAAGCCATGCTTTCTGCCCTGCCCAAACAATCCTGAACCTAAAAATGATGAATAACTGTTTAACAGTCCAAGTCCACAATTCAGCACCACATAGTCCTCAGTCTTTTTACATGTTTTCAGGAACGTTTTTTTTTTAAACATGTACAGAGGCAGCCAACTAGAAGTGCACATCGCAGATGAATGGAGTGCAACTGGCATGCAGTTCCCATGAGCCTTACAGGAGCCCCCCTTCTCCGGTTGCCTGATAAGGCATATCTAGATTCCCCAGTAAACATGCCATTCCTTGATTTGCACTGTGTCACCATTAGATGGCGCTTGGTTCTCAAAAAACACATTAGCCAGAGTGTGACTGCCTGAAATACTGTATTCACACTGCAGAGTCGTGTTTTTGTTTAGACCACAGTTAATACATTAGAATTGTCTGACCATAATCCTTATCATACAGGTACTGCACCAGATAAATAATTATTATCTGTTAACTGGGTTTCACATTTCTAGTCAAAGGTCTATTAATCATGGTTAACATGCTTAAAGAACCCATGGCATACTTTTTCTCATTTTCTGACTTATCTACAATGTTACAATAGTGAATTATCATCTTAAACATGACCTAAAGCTCAAAAAATGAGCTGTACGTATTTTCTAGTATGTCTATGCAGAAGCAACTTGGTTTATACACCTCCCGCAAACTCTCGCTTGCAAGACTTTTTCGCTAACAAAATCAAGTCTTACGTAATAGTTTAAGGATCTCCTTGAATGGGCATAATCTCCAGGCAGTTGCTCATTCATGTGAGCTTGCCTGACATCCACTGGTGCCCCCACCATATTGGCAAAATGTTATATTGTTTTGTTTGTTATGTATATTTTCAATACAAATTGTTAAAAAAAAAAAGACATCTACCGATGCCATTGTAAAAGCAGAATGGATATATTTTACCTCCTGCTGCCTGCACTGTCACCAGAGGATATGGAGAACAATACAGGGCCTGAGGTTACTGCATGCCAGGAATGTTCATGTATGGGGGACTCGCTGTTTTACCTGACCGGGTCTAACCTACAAGCAGCCAGCCAGTGAATCCCCTGCTGCAGAGAACGATCAGCTCATCAACTCTGGATTCCCCCAGAGCAAAGTAACTGTTTCTTTTGACTGCTTGAGGCCAGTGAAGCCCCCCGCAGCAGTGAATGATCAGCTCATCAACAATATACAGATATTATACAGATGGCTGCATCTGTATAGTGTGCTTTACCCTGACTTTAAGGAGGCAGTCAACCTGTGGTCCCAGTGTGGAGAGCCTTACCCCAGAATGTGTTCACAGATGAGCCTGCAGTAGTCGCTGTGTGAGCTGGTGATAAGGAGAAGGACCTTCCCAGCATTCTTCATGCTGTGCAGCCAGGTCTTGACAGAGTCTGAGCAGGGCTGCAGGTACTGGCCTGGGTTCCTCTTCACACTGGGGAAGTAGGTCCCCGCGTCCTCTGTACAGAGACACAAGCACAGTTAAGACAACTGGATTTGATCTTAAAGACATAAAAATAAAAAGACTGGCACATGGCTGAAAATAAACCCAGTGAAAATCCTGAAATTACTGAAGTTAAATATCAGCTTTGGAGTTTAGGACGAGTCTTTAGATGAAATAAACCAGTACAGTGGATTAGTTTTTTCAGAGAATCCCATAAAACCACTCACAGTATATATTAAAATTAAAGGGAACATGCTTCCATTTATTTCTGTTGCAAACTAACTGTTTATAGGTTGAGTGAAAGGGAGAACAGATGCTACAGCTTAAGACTTTCACCTAAGCTACTAGGTTATGCCAAACAGGCCTGAGAGGATATTCACAGAGGGGACCGCCAGGTCATGTTCCCCACTTCTGAGACACCATCAGTGGGCTTTCTCTTTGAAGCTCCTAGCTGCCCTTCATCCTGCCAGTATACTGTACAGAGCTAAATATGGCAGCAGTCTGATCTCTGTTACACAATCCCAGTCTGGCACAGAATATAATTCTTGACCTTATGCTCTGAGCTGAATGTAAAAACCCATGAATAAAACATAACCAATAAGAACAATAGCCCCTTTTCTACTGCCTGGTACCAGCTCAACCTGACTCGACTTGTTTTTCCATCAGTCAAATATTGGGGATGGTACCTGGTACCTGGTACTATTTTTTGTATCACCTCTGTCGAGGTTCCAAGTGAGCAGAGGCGATACCAAATGATGACGTGTAAACACTGCAGTCTAGTAATTGGTCAAAGAAATCAAGTCATCAATGTGCGAGATGTCCTGGAACAAAGAAAGTGCCATTTTTAAAAGAAACATTATTTAACACCAACCGCTACTCTACTGTAGTTACTGGACTAACTAATACCAAGAATCAAGTGCAGCTTCAATGTCCCCCCAATGTTACTGTATGGGTTGCAGTGTAATGCAGTGTCGCTATGACAAACAGCTACAATGAGAGAAGACCATCTGCAGTGGAAAACCAAGCAACCGGTACCAAAAGTGAGTAGAGCTGAGTCGAGTTGAGCTGGTACAAGACAACGGAAAAGGGGCTTAAATTTCCTTGGTAATGAAAGGAAATGTAATAAATTAGTATCTTGAGGGTTTGTACTAAGTTTGTAATAAGTCAGTTTTGTACACCTGATGAGTACAACCCCCTCCTCTGCTGCTGTATGTGATTACATTAAAATGGCATGAGCGGATGATGTGAATCATGGAACAAAATTTGAGTTAAACTCTGAGAAGTGCTACCTTGTCCAAACAGAAAAATATGTGACCTACATGTCACTGTTGCGTTTGAGCTGAATAAGGTAGCGAATATGCAAGAAATAAGAGAAAACAGGGCTTAGAAAAACAGGGCAGGGTGTGGGTGAGTGGCAAGTATTCATGGGCTGAGGTGTTTATCCTGGCAGAAAGCTCCGGTTTCTTAGGGGCATCACTGATCAACAAGATACAGTCTCAGACTTTGTTTACACCATGGCCCAAACTGTCCTAATTCTGTTTTTTTTTTTCTTTGCTGAATATATTATGCAGTTCTGATATTTCTTATATGTGTGAATAGCAAAACAGTTTCATTTTTAAAATTCCAATCTAGGCCACATGGATATACAGCAAACATATAATATAGATTTGAAGTTCTAGAAAGAGCCCATTAAAATGATCCCATTTTAACTCACACAACACACTGGTACTGCTGCTACTGTATTCTTAGACAATTTCTATTGTAGTATTTGTATAATAATAATAATAATAATAATAATGAATGCTTCCTGAAGGTTTGTCATGAGTAAAGGTTACTAGGTCACTAAAATCAAATGAGTTTATCCTCTTGGGAACCAAACAACGATCTATTCCATTACAGAATGGAGTCCTCTGTTTACTGTTGACATATACCCTAAGAGTGGTGCTAGAGCAAAGCTTATGGTGTGTCCAAAATGGTATGGGTTCATCCTTTTGGGAACATGAATGTGCTCAGTAAATGTCATGGTAATCTGACCATGGTGATCTCTTGCTGAACAAACAGGCTTGAAGTGTTAACACAGCCAGACAAAACATCATCAGAGAAAATGTTTAGAGGCTGACTGTGTCTTTTTCCAGTTTGTGAAGCTGAACACGATGCCCTCACTTTCTTTGACGTCAGAAACTACAGGCACAGACACTTGGCTTCTGTGAAAAAGCTAAATAACAACTACTCAGATCTTGTGCACAATTCAAAATTCAAGCAGCTCATGAAAATCTTGCATTGAGACTTTGAAAAGTTTGGACATGCTGCCCTCCTGTGGTGTAACACGTGCCTGAAGTGACAATGGAAAAAGCTCCTGTGTGTCCTCAGAAGGTAATAGAGCATTCTAACCAGAAGGTGGCGACAAGGACAAAACAACAAAAGATTGAGATACCAATCAGGAGCCTGAAATGCACACCTTTGAAAACATCCCAGATGTGAACATCTGGGTTTGATTTTAGACAAATTTCTTCAGAAGTTTTGATCATGTCCCCAGGCCATTTCACCTTCAGTTAATGGAAAAAGCAGGTCACGCTGACTAGCGTTTGGCCTTCAGTGGTTCCTTCTCTGGGACCCTGCAGTAGAAAGCTCATCTTGCCTCATTACCCACAGTCAGGGAGGTCAGCTGAGGGAGGCTCAAAGAGCTCCCCTGCCAGCAAAATCCCATATCATAGTTGTGTGTATGAGAGAATAAACAATAACTGACACCACCACCATAATTTGTATTACATTTGATTACACAACATCCTGCAGAAACCGTTTTATTCCAATAGGAAGTTTACCACTCAAGTATACAGCTGAAACATAGGCCAGGTCATAGAGCATCAAAATACGCTATCAAGGAACACAAATGATAAAGGAATGAATGGACCCACCAAACTGCAAGGCTGTGATGTTCAGTGGAAGTGTTGTGTATCCATTCATTCTGACATGATTTCATCAGGTCTGCCTCTTGGATAAGTGATGAAATACATATGTTCAGAAAGCAGTCCCCTTAACCTAGATTTCTAATTTGTGTCTTAGTGGTAATTAAATTGTACTTTTGTTTATTATTATTTTGGGGAGCGTTTGCTTCTCTGACGCAGGTCGAAATAAAGATTGCATGAGACATAGGGGAAATGTACTCCTGGCTTAGCAGTCTAAAATGTTTGTGTATGCCTGATGGACAGATCTCTCAGCCTATCACAGTCAGCCATATTGACTGCCCCTTGGTTGATAAGTTTTATCCAGGTGCTCCACAGAGTGGGGAAATTAAATTAGATATTTATGGTGCTGATGAAAGATGGGAAAGAAAGACAATGCAAGAATATCCAGACATAATGCATGGGCACTTGACTCATGCTTATTTCAGATGCTGTAAAAAGTTATGGCCGTTCAGAGATGTTTGGACAACATCTTTTTTTAAAATATCGAACTGACGATTCCTTCTGCGGCAGCAGGTGATAAATCCTGATCACTTATTGCTAGAGAGTGGCACCTTTGCTTCTTCTATCATTCATTCACTCTGTCTGCAAAATGGTCCAGCCTCTCTCTCTCTCATATATATGTGTGTGTGTTTTTTGTAAACAGCTTCCGTGTGTTTAGTTTGGTGTCTCCAGCCATGATGATGCCTCAGGATAACCTCCTGGAGAAAACGTCTTGTTTGCCTTAATGTTGTCCTATCATTTATTGCCCTTTAGGCTGAGAGCAGAACAAGGCAGGCTAATACAGTGGTGCACTGTGGGACAGAAACGTGATCAATCCACATATACCAAAGAAGAGCATATAATGCTGCTCAGTCCATCACCAGTGCCAGCTCACTACACCACGTGTGTGGTGGAGTAAAATGCAGGCTCTGGCTGCAAAACTAAGACTGAAGTGTCCCCAGGGCTCGCATGTCTGTGGCCTGGACGGCTGGAGAACTGCCCAGTGTCAGAGAGAGAGCTGCGTCCGGCAGCAGCTCAATCTCTCTCACACATCAAAGCAGCCTTGCAGGATACATATGTAAATAAACAGTCGCAATGCAAATTAGGGCAAAGTACGGAAGTATTTCACAAACAGCCACACCAAAAGTGATGAGAGCGCAGAATCTAGCAGCACTTTCTTTTTTATCTTTTTTTAAATTAACTTAGTTTTTTGCAGACCAAAAATTGCTACATCATGTCCCTCACGGTGCACACAGCATTTTTATTTCAGTGACAAAACTATAATGTTCTATACATATCATATGTATGATATTTTCATATGCAGTTATATATAATATGTAGTATTAAGATTTGCTGCATTTTTGATAGTATATACTGTAGGTCGATGTCAGTGGGAAAGAAAATGCCAGTTTGGAAAGGCATGGAATATAGCAAGCCTGTTTTAAATCCCACCTAAAGAACTCTAATTGGCTTGGCTGTCTCTTCAACTGTGTGAAACAGCAATGAATGAGCCCAAGCCCAGGCCCATTTAAATCTATAAAAATGAAAATAGCCTGGTCTGAAACCAGGCAAACATAGAATATACCTGGACCAGCGCACCAAAATGTTCCATGTGGTCTCTCTTTGAGCTGCTGTACTGCACTGGGTGTGTCATTTTGATAAAGGTGATAGTATGAGACGGAGTAGAAGTGGCAGGAGGAACTTTCATGAGTTCACCAGCAGGCAGATTTTGTCTAAAGGATTTCTATCTTAAAGAAATGCTACAGAAGAAGAGAGAAAAGACCAATGAAGCAGAGAAAAAATGGGTTGGTGGCTTTTGGACACGCATATGCAGATCACTGAGGGGGACAGTGACGCCAGTAGTAGTCTCTCCCCTCTAGGCAAATGTGAAGGACACTGAAATCTATCATTATACCAAACCAAAGCTATATTTATTCAGAGCTATCTTAGGAAAACTGTGAGGATTCATACTTCAAGGTCTGATCTCAGGAGGATCATGCAGGGTTAAAAAACCCAAATCACATTCTATATCCATTTCTGTACCTTAATAGGCACACAAGTATCTAAAATA